GCCGCCAGGTCCCGGCCGCCGCGAGGGGGTGGGCGGCCGCTCACCCCGCCGCGCTCGGGGCCGTGCGCCTCCCTTCTTCCTTCGCGGGGGCACACAGTGGGCACAGAACCCGCGGCTTTCGGAGCGCCTTCCCCAAGCACCCCCGCCCCACCGTTCCTGGGCCGCGCGAGGTTCCCGGCTGGAGGTGTGCAGCGTCGCGGTGGGTGCGCGGTGGCCCCGCGCGGTGGGAAGGGTGCGGGGAGGTAGGGGGTTCACCACGGTCCCCCTTTCCTAGGACATTTTACCAGGGAAGTCTAGCTTGGAGAGGAGTTAAGGCACCCTTCCCCTTCTAGAAGGGGTGGGACTTGATGAAAAGTGCGGGTCAGAACCGAGAGCAGAACTATTTTAGGGATCTGGACACTCGGATGGCACAAGATTAAAGTGAATTTTAAGCGTGCCAAGTTTAAATGTTGGATTTAAACATCAGTCACTGTAGTGCACCGCGTTCTAACATTGTTTCCGCTTCGCTTCAACTTTTCGCATAAAGGTTTTGGGAAACATTTAATTAACGTTCTGAAGAAGTGGGATTTTTTTTTTTTTTAAAGGCCTCGGTTTGGAGTCTTCTGTGCTGTGAATAGGCAGTACTGTGTAGGTGTAGTAGTAAACGGTACTTTAAAATGATACACGTATCATTGTTTAAGTAAACAAACACTACAAAGTTGAATTTTTAAACAACTCAAAACCATTGCTCAGAACTGTTGAACTCTTTCTTAAAGCCAAACCGTGTTTATTTTTACCCAGCACCCAGGAAGGGCATAACATTTCATTTGTCAAAGACGAAATTGTTTCTATATAAGGAGTTTTGTAGAAAGAGTTCCTTTTCACCAGTAAACTTAGCTTTCTTAAACATCAGATCATACAGTAATTCCTTTTCTGCTGCGTTGGTGATCCTGATGAAGGGGTCATCATGTGCGCATCTGGTGAATCCGGTTACAGGGAGTCCCTGCCACCATGTGTAGTGTGCATGCCATTCAAGTGTGTATGTAAACAGTTCTATTTTTAAAATCCTCCTCACTGCTGGTTTAAAAAACCTTTAGTATTAGATAGTGGTGCACCTAAAAATAAATGGAGTACTTTGTTTTGCATTTCAAGGCCGGATTCAGAAGCCAGCCAGAGCCCACAGTACAGCTTCGAATCATTACCTCAGAAGATATGTTTAATCTGTGGGGATGAAGCTTCAGGCTGTCATTATGGTGTCCTAACCTGTGGGAGCTGTAAGGTCTTCTTTAAAAGGGCAATGGAAGGTAGGCTCCTTTCCCCTGATCCTTTATTATTGGTTTAATTGTAGACTATTTCATTTATTATAATGATCCCTTCTTCTGAGAAATGGTGATGTTTCTGTATAAAAATATGATTATGTGTTAATAATGCTTCTTGCAACAATCAGAATTGAGCATGGTTGGATATTATAACTGCATAGTCTGACTAGCACTTTCATTATTAGACACAAGTCATAATAATCTTGAAGACAGTGATACTGTTCATTATTTAGTTTTCACTATTTTTAACTTAACTTTAAAAGTTTGATCAAAAGAATGGAAGAAGTAGTTAAAATTGTATATGTATGTGTATGTATACATCCACATATTAGTATATACTGTGTAACACACATATATGAAGCAGTTACAAATACATAACACACATATATACATACCTGTACATGTATATGTATAGAGCCGATATATGATGCACTTAAATTTTTTTACATGATTTTGTCTCTTCCCTGCATTCATATTTATGAAACATTTCTATAATGGTAATTCTAAAAAAAAATTTTTATTCACCTTTTGTGTAGTATAATTTGTGTCTAAGAAGAGTAAACAGTTTAAAACAAATTAAAAGATTGTACATCACAGTAATGTTCCGAAATAATCTTTGCTTTAAGTAAAACATTCATGTTTTTTAAATAATTTAGGTATTTATCAAATGATTTTTGGATCGACTTGTCTAAGTGTATTTCGGACCTTATGTTTCCTAAAAACATGTTTGAATTTCTCTTTCTTCTTATGCTAAAAGCAACCAAACACACTCCTTTTGATGTGTTTTTATCATCAAATATATCATTTCACATTTTAATATTAGGAATAAGTATATTTGCTAACAAACAGAAATGGGATTGAGCGTTCCCTCTGGAGTTCTGAGATCACACCTGGGCAAGGAATCAAAAATCTGCATGTCAATTTCTTTGTTTCCTGTTTCTAAGTTTTCTGTTTTCAAGAGCTCTCAAAAAGGAGAAAAGGAGGGAATTGACAATTTTCAATTTAAGGGGGCCTTCAAGAAGAGTTCATCATTTTAAAAAATTTGCTTTGTGTATTTTTAAAATATGCCTTTTTCCCACAAAAGATTAATGTATTTAACTGTTAAATATATTTAAACAGGGGGCTTCAGTTGCATTGTATATTAATTGAGGCATTGTTAAAAGAGGACTTGAGAAAACAGCACATCTGAGAGAGTGGCCTTCACTTTCCCATTGACATTTACAGTTACAAATGAAAGTTCTTGGTGAGAAAAGTTGGTTCATTAGTGGATAACTGAAGTTACCATTCTTGATGCCTGTTTCCAGTTTAACGTTCACTTTTGCATGAATATGATTTCCTTTATTCTTAAAGTATCTTTAGAATAATAGAATTTCATAAATAATGATCTCCTTAGGGTCCTCCAAAGATCAGTTCCTTCTTTTTCAGATTAGCAAGTCTCAAAGATATACAAAGATCATACAACTAGGTAGTTACTGATTATTAGTTATCCTAGGTTTACACAAAAATAAATACTATTGAGTCGTCGGAAAAGTCAATTTTTTCTGACGACTCAATATTTAATTCTCAGAAATTACTTCCAAAAAGTGCATGTACATGGGAACCAGCAGTTAGCATAATGGCTATGTCGCTGGACTCCCACATAGTCGACCGCAGTTCGCGTCCCGGACCCAGTGGCTTAAAACTCATGCCAGGCACGTGTCCATGAGTGCCCAAGATCCAGAGAGGAGAATGGAGGAGAAGGGATTGTGGTGTGACCATCCCCTCTGGGGGGTGATTTCTCGGTTTCTGTCTCTGTCTCTATCTGTCTGGCGAGTGCACGCGCCCTATAGCGAAAACCTCTCCAAAAAAAAAAAAAGTGCATGTACAGAATGAGAAACAGCCTAACTGTAAAATACAAATGCTTTCACATGTTTATTATCATAATAGCATCCAAACCATAGAAAATGTCTTTCCAAATTTACTCTTAAAAAGCATTAATTAGATTTCTATTGTTGGCATGGTCTTGCTTTAGTCTTGAGTAGTAGACATGAAGCACCTTTATTCAGCAATATTTACAAGGAGGAATTCATAATAGATGTTGATCAATCATTTATAAAACTAGAGCAAGGTTATAAGACTATGTAACTTGATTTATTCAGCAGTTATTACATACCCTTTATATTAAGTTTGTGCCAAATATTTCCTTTACCTGATGACACCTTTCTCTGTCTTTGATAGAAAATAAAGATAAGATGACCAGCCCTGTAGTGTAGTGGTTAAATGCTGTATATCAGGAACTAGATACTACATGGTCAACCACAATTTGAGTCCTGGCCTTTGTAGATTGAAAAACATGCTGGGTACATGAATGTGTGTGTCTAAAATCCTGATGTGAAAAAGAAATGAAGGAAAAAATAATTGTGTCATGACCATGCCCCATTGGGAGTCTTATTTGCTCACTGTCTCTGTCTCTGGTGAGCATATGTGCCCTTTTGCAATAAAAAAAAAAGAAAATAACAGTAACTACTTTGTAGGGTTGTTATAAAGATTAATTGAATTAATATAAAGTATTTAAGAGAATTTCCAGCATACATCAGCTTTCATTAGTGTTGTTTTTACCTCAAGGATCTATGATAGAGTTGAAGAGATAAGATATGCAAGTAAAACATATACAGAATCTCACTAAATGCCCAGATGAGCAATTTTATAACATATGGTATATGAGATTTGTTAGGTTGTATGTTTGACAGAGGGAAGATGTTTGTGAACTGTAATATGTATATTTTAGAATAATGGGGGAAGGCTGTTAGGTAAGATAGGAAACTCATTGGTTATTAAGGACAAATAAGACCTCTAGGTATTAAGAAGAGCTTTTAAGTATACATCAAAGAAAAATGAAGATCTTGATATTATACTAAGCTGAATATTCATATTAGAAAATTGTAAGAGTTACAGTTTGGGAAATTAAATTGAAAATATTTATTATCTCTCACTCTTAACATGGAAGAGAGGTGGGGAAACTGAGTCTTATATAGGGAGAAAAATCAGTGACTTAAGGCAGGAAAATAGAAGTTTTTGAGCATTTTCAGGAATGAGAAAGATCACTGAAGGGACTTTTATAATTGGAGAAAAATACCTGGTCTGAAATCTTAGAATGGGCCAGCCCCCTGGCCTAGTGGTTAAGGGAGTCAGATTCCACATGGCTGGCTTCAGTATGAATCCTGGCTCCAGCACCTTGTCAGACATACTAGCACATATGTGTGCATGCCCAAAGTCTAGACAGGATAGAGAAATAGGGAAGGGACCACAGCATGACCATGCCTCATTGAGGGGAGAGTTCTCCCTTTTCTACTTTGTCTCTCTCTGGTGAGTGCACATACCCTCTACCAATTAAAAACAAACAAACAAACAAAAAGCTCTTAAAGCAGAGAAGTGCTGTGTGATGAGCTGGTACAAGGGAGAGCCACTTGTAGATACCAATATGGACAGAAGTTATAAGTTAATAGGGAATAATATGGATATTAATGTTACAACGATAATGATGATAATGATGACATTATCAAGTGCTTTCTATGTCCCAGTGACTAAGCATTTTCTAGATCTCAATTCATTTACTCCTTATAATGTAGGTATTATTATTTGTACCATGTTACAAATGAGGAAACCAGGGCCCAGAAATGGGATGCTACCTTAATCACAGGAAATGGTTGAATCAGGATGCACAGGTAGTGTGATTCCCAAGTTTGCTTTCTAACACTATGATTCCTTTCTCAAAAGAGGAAATAGAGTCAAAGAAAAGCAATAGAGAGTTGGAAGAAAAAAATATAAGCCCAACAATGAAATATTTCTGAAGGTAAAAGCGAATCCTAAAGGAGAATGTAAGACCAGGAGTGAGAAGTCTGTCCTATAGATGGGTGGATCACATTCTCGGGGCTTTAGGAAATACATCATCAGGGGATAAGAGCCAGGTTTTCCACCTCTTCCATGTTAGGAGTGAAAGATTATAAAGTCTATTGTCACCAGGAAAACTGGGTTTCCATTGGTCTGAGACAGAACAGAGAAGAGTTGCCAGGGGGAGGAGACCTTATGTAGGAAATGAGGATGTGGGGGTAGGGAGAGTTGACCTCTCTTAAGCTAATTGAACTGTTTAAGATATATTAACCAAAAAATGGTTGAATAGCTCATTGCATTCTATTACCAAGACTTGTAGGGCTAAAGTGAACCAGGAAGTGTCAAGAAGATGAAGTAATACTGACCTGCCTGCCCTACAGATGTAGACTAGTGAGCTGGTATTGTATAGGAAAGAACCATTTCTCATTGGATAGTCCCAGTGTATGCTAGACTAGTTTACCAATGGGAATATAGAAGGCATTCAGTAAATAACAATTTGCCCCTTGAACCAATCATTGTAACCAAAATGGCACACTGTTATTGTTTACTAAGTCTTTACTCAGTGACAGCATTTGTAGTGAATACATTTAATACAATATAATTGAAGAGATGTTATAATACAATTGAAATGTATTATTCTTTTCTTTTTAAGAGAGACTTTGAGATATTTTTTCCATAGGGAGCCTGTGCTCATCGGAGAGACAGAGAGAGACAGAGAAACAGAAGTGAGAAATCACTCCTCAGGGGGGATGGTCATGCCACAATCCCTTCTCCTCTATTTTCCTCTCAGTATTTTAGGCATGCACGCACACATGCCCCACATGAGTTTTAAGTTGCCAGGTCCAGGACTCGAACTGTAGTCAACTACGTGGGAGTAATGTAACTATTACAGTGATGTAACCATTACACCATCTACTGGTCCTAAAATGTATTATTTAGAAGACACCAGACTATGTAAGCATCAATGAACTTTTAATTGTGTTGCAGTATTATCCTCCTTTTAGTCATGTATTAATTATTCATGAATTAATTACCTTAATTACATTAGTTTATGTATTAATTTACTGATCATCTGCCAAGTGCCAGGCACTATGTATTAAGACAGAACTGACTGC